ATTTTATTAGGAGTCTATTTTCGATTTGAATTATTTCATTTTAAAGTAGTAATTTAAAGCTTTCTATATGTTTTGATCATGTCTGAGTTTAGGTTCATCATTGTGAAGCGCTCCGGTTCAAGCCCGAGACGGCAGAAAGCGTTTGTTTTCTTTATTTTATAAAAGCACAACGTTTTGTTGATATTGTGAGTGGACACAAATAAAAGTAGACCCTTTACAGTTTGGAATGACGTATTACTCTTACCTTTATGAGCAAAAATGACTGCGTATTTTAAGTTGTTGTGTGTGTGTGTTGTGCATGATATATATGTAAGCAGCTGTGTAATGCAGCTCTCTCACTGATTTGTATTGACTAAAATCATGAAGTTCTTCTCTGAGTGTCTCTAATTGGATTGTCAGATGACTGTGATGTTTATTTCTGGCCTGAAAGATGAAAAATTATGCTCTCAGTAGATGAAGCTCCATGGTTCCATGCTGTGTTTTCTATTAACATTAGAAGAAGCAAACAAGATGGCTTTAACATATAGATCTGTGATGCTTTCAACTCATTAAACCAGTGCCCAGGGGCGGACTTACCCATTAGGCAAAGGTAGGCGACCGCCTTGGGCCCCCAAAAGCCAAGGGCCCCCTAAAATGCTTTTCATATAGGATATGCACATTAAGCGCGGACACGCGAACATTTGCTGTTTACGGTGTTTATTACCACGACAACCATCTGAGTCAGTGGTGCCTGCAGGTGTACGGCACTGTGAGTACCATGAGCGCTCAGACTGACCTCAGATTTGCCCCACAAACATTTCAGCGCTTTTTTTGGGAAAAGGGGAAAAAGACGGGCTAGAGCCTATTTGAGACCCGTGCAGGGCTTTAATCCACTTCATCCAACGCTGTTTTGTTCTCATCTGTGAGCATGCTCTTGATATATGTATTTTAGGTATGTACATGTATAATTGCCTTTTAATTATTTTTTCAGTTTTATTTAAATTTGTAGTTAAAACGACTAAAAATAAATGTATTTTAAAGTTTAGAATTAGACAGCCTTTGCACGCAGGCTTACGCTGAAAACAACAAAAAGGAACCTCAAGGTTGATCTAGGAAAATGTGTGCAAATGTATAGGGCCCCATTCCTATATTTTGCCTGGGGCCCCCAATTCACTAAATCCGCCCCTGCCAGTGCCCAGAGCCTCCTTACTAAAACATCCTGCACATAAAACAGCAAAGAGAGAGTAAGAGATAGGGTGGCCATATGTGCCATTTATACGGGACACATCCTGGCCATAATTTTTATAGTGCCTAAAACATCCAAAGTAGTTTGACCAATAACATGCGGGTATTGTACATAATCGACCAATCGTGGCGCGTCGCGAGTGAGAAGGTGAGAACGATCAAAGCGATGCAAATACGCGCACGTGTTTGTTCGTTCGTTCGACTCGAAGCTGCACACCGATCAGTGTATGACACCAAAGTACCGCGAGAGTACTTTGAAAGCATAAGGTACCGCCTGCTCTGCTGTCTATAGCTCTCGTGAAATAATGTCATACAACAATCGATCTGCACAGTGCTAACAGCCAAAACCTGGATATTTTAGGCAATATAGAAATGCTGGTAAGGGTGCGTCCCGTAAAAATGGCCCGTATGGTCACCCTAGTAAGAGAGAGTGGTTCAGGCTTATAATACACATTATTAGCTGTAGTACTTCAAAATGCCCAGCAGATGTCAGTGTTGCACTGTTTTGCTTTATCAGACTACATCGCTGAATTTTTTTGAGGTTGTTGTAGATGCGTGTTTGAGTGATCTGAAACAGCACTTGTTTATCTCCAGTCACCTGAGTTATGGCTCATATAGACGTAAAAAGCATTTTTTGTGGCACTTTGTGAATGTTCCAAGTTGAATACCAATTTTCTGCTTTATGGACAGCATCTGTGACATTTAGTTGATTACCAGAGGGGGGAAAAAAACCTTGTGTGCAGTAATGCAGTTACAGTGAAAGTCTATGGGCTAAGGCACTGCATAAATGCTTAAAATACATTATATGCATGCACATGGAGTGGTGTGATAGTGTAATTACTTAATACCTTTCTAATCCTATCTGTACAAAGTTATGTGCAGATTTCACAGAATTTTTCTTCAACACTATGAAAATCGATTTAATAATTTGTGTAACTTGAATTTTTTCTGCTATGTAATGCTTTAACACCCCATTTAATACATTTTACCATGTTTAAATCCTGCAAATAAAAAAAAAAGTAAATAAATAAATAAAAGCAACCAAGGTTATATTAAATATTTCCAAAATATTATATCCAAACGTCCTGTCATCTCCAAGTACAGTCATAGATCCTGGTAACTTTTGCATGATACATGCAAGTTTACAAAGTTAAAATAACCAGAATTTCATTATATATATTATATATATATATATATATATATTATTATATATTAGCAGTTTAAACATTGTGCTTTTAAAGCTTATGAAATGTTTTGCTACATAGACTTCCATTGTAATGCATTACTGCAAACAAAGTTGTTTTTGCAAACTGAGGGTACGTTTACACGACAACCATGTGTAAACCAGCGTTTTTCACATAAAATGCTCCTCGTTCACACAGATCCACGAAAACAACTGAAAATGCTGTATTATGTATGCCAGGCCAGTAGTTGGCGATGTCACTTTGTAAAGAAACACTGTGTGAATACGTAATACGCATACGCATGACATCACAGCGTTTTTGTAATTTACACGAAGACAATAACAGTATAACTTTCAAAAATGTGCACTTTGAAACCCATTTTCAAAAGTTTGTTGTGCCAATGAACGGCCAAGCTGCATAAAAGGTTTTTTGTTTTTAAAACGGTGTCATGTAAACTCCCCCTTAGAGATGTGACAAAATTATATCAGTAGAAAATCAAAAGCATGTCACTGATGCTTCAACCCGGTGTTCTGTTGATTTGTGCTACCCTGTCAGATTTTGCTACCTCTTATTAAAACAGTAGGTAGTACAGTTCGACAACAAAAAAATGCTACCTGTCAAATTATGGTTTATTAACGTCTACACCTACCCCAACCCTAAACCTACCCTTACAGTAATGCAAATACAGTAATTATGTGTTGTTCGGGTTGTGGCTAGAAAGGATACAGCTACGGCCGGAAACCAACAATAAATTAATTTTTCTACCTATTAGATTGTTTTATTAACGTCTACACCTACCCCTTACAGTAATGCAAATACAGTAATTATTGTGTTGTTCATGGTTGTGGCTAGAAAGTATACAGCTACGGCCAACAATAAATACATTTTTCTACCTATTAGATTGTGTTTTAATAATGTCTACACCTACCCCTTACAGTAATGCAAATACAGTAATTATTGTGTTGTTCATAAAAAAAAATGCTACCTGTCAAATTATGGTGTATTAACGTCTACACCTACCCCAATCCTAAACCTACCCTTACAGTAATGCAAATACAGTAATTATGTGTTGTTCAGGGTTGTGGCTAGAAAGGATACAGCTATGGCCGGAAACCAACAATAAATACAATTTTCTACCTATTAGATTGTGTTTTAATTATGTCTACACCTACCCCAACCCTAAACCTACCCCTTACAGTAATGCAAATACAGTAACTATCGTCGTTCAGTGTGAGAAAAATGATGCATTACTGATGTGTGCATGCGCAGTAAACCCCGGTAGGAAAATCTGACGGGCAGGACAAAACGTCAGGACACCGGAACACTTCTGTAGGAAAAGGCAGAAACTTGAGGGATTGGGCCCGTGATGAGTGACAGTCACGTAGAGAGTGGTGGGGCAGTTAGGCCGTCTCTCCCCTGCAGTGTCAGTAGGGAGGTGCTGGCGAGGTGCTGGTCTGTGTGGCTGTCTGGCTGACGTCTGTGTCTCCTCCTCTCTCCCGGCAGTTCATGGCATCAAGTGGACTTGCAGCAACGGGAATAGCAGCACTGGCTTCTCAGCAGAGCAGCTCGTGCAGCAAATTCTGGACAGCCACCAGACCAAACCACCTCCCCGGACTCACAACTGCCTCTGCACGGGAAACCTGGGTAAGGGAACCGGACCCCAGTTGATATCTCTGTATTATCTCATTAAAGAAAACTCTCTGAAAAAGCTTTGTCTCCTGAGTAAAAGACACCTGTAACAGTCTTAAACAGTGCAAACAAGTCAGAGATTTCACTATGAACTCATTTCTCATCAAATTCCTCCAATACCAAATGATCTCAGCTTCTGTCCACATTCGTTTTATTACAGTATATTCTTACTGTTTGACTGTTGATTCATAATATTCTCCTTCTATAAGAACTCATGTGGGTTTTATTTATAGCCATTAATCAATTTATCTAACAGTGATTTCACTGTAAGGTATTATAAAATATATTTATATTTAAATATAAATCTGACCATATATTAGTTACATTTGGACTTTCCATCATCTTTTCAGGTTTAGTATAGATTATGGCCAGTAGATGGTACTAATGAGTCAAGTAAAAATTATTTTGAACGCAAACAAATTACTGTCAGACACTGATTAATGCATTTACATTAAACAAAATGGATTATGAAACCAGTGCATTAATTTTCCCTGAAATCACACTGACAGATGACACTTGAGTCAAGTGAAAATACATTTTCTCCACCATATATCACAAATATTTTCAGAGAGTTTAATGTTCAACTCATGATCACTAACATTATATTTTATCTGAATATCTTTTTTTTATTATTTACTGTAATATATATTTTAATTATTTAATTTTTATTCATAATTATGTATTTTTGTGTATTTTAAATAACACTTCTTAGAATATACAATGCCGTTCAAATGTTTGCGATCAGTAAGATTTTTAATATTTGTAAATGGAGTCTCTTATGCTCATCAAGGCTGTATTTATATGATCAAAAATACAGAAAAAACAGTAATATTGTGAAATACTATTGCAATTTGTTATATTGGTTTCCTATTTTAATATACTTTAAAATATCAGGTTTCTGTGATGCAGTGCTGAATTTTCAGCATTATTACTCCAGTCTTTAGTGTTACATGATACGATGATTTATTATCAGTGTTGAAACAGTTGTGCGGTTTAATATTTTTTTTGGAACCTGTGATACTTTTTTCTTTGATTCTTTGATGAATAAAAAGTTAAAAAGAAGAGCATATATTCAAAATATAAATCTTTTCTAACAATATAAGTCTTTACTATCCCTTTTTATCCATTTAACACATCTTTGCTGAATAAAAGTATTAATTTCTTAAAAAGAAAGAAAGAAAAAAAATGACTGACCCCAAACTTTTGAATAGTAGCGTATATTGTAACACAAAATTTATATTTGAATAAACACTGTTCTTTTTAACTTTTTATTTTTCAAAGAATCCTGAAACAAGTATCACAGGTCCCAAAAATATTAAGCAGCACAACTGTTTCCAACATTGATTATGAATCAGCATATTAAAATGATTTCTGAAGGATCATGTGACACTGAAGACTGTAGTAGTGATGCTGACAGTTCATCTTTGCTTCACAGGAATAAATTATATTTTAAAGCATATTAAAATACAAAACTGTTAATTTATATTGCAATAATATTTCACAAAATTAAAGTTTTGTTCTGTATTTCAGCCTTGATGAGCATAAGAAACCTCTTTAAATTACAGTGAAAATTCAATTAAAATAATTATAAAAAGAAAAAGAAACTTCTTTAAAAATCTTACTGATCCCAAACTTTTGAACGGCGGTGTACATAGCATTTGCCATTTCTCTGCTAAACAGTGTGCCAGCATTTTCAATAAAATACATCAAAATGCATGGTTTAGCTTTATGTGTCAAGCTACTTTTAGGTTGCGTTAATATTATACCGTAACTTAGAATGTGTCTGCTCTCTGTAGGTGCTGGGAGCAGCCTGCATCACAAATGCAACAGTGCCAAACACCGTATCATCTCCCCAAAAGTGGACCCACGCACTGGAGGCGCCTACAGCAGCACCCACTCCGAGGTTCAGAACAACGACGTGTCAGAGGGAAAGACGGAGCACAGCCACGGCGGGGGCAAAAACGGCAGGGCAGGAGCAGACGGCGCCGGTGGAACGGGCGGCCGAGAGAAAAGGAACGGCAAGGTGCACAAGCCAGCACTGCTCCATCAGAACAGTATGGAGGTGTCCTCATCCAACCAGGTGGAAGTGCCAGATACCACCCAGAGCTCACCCGTCTCCATTAGCAGCGGGCTAAACTCCGACCCCGATATGGCCGACAGTCCTGTGGTGACAGGAATGGGCCATGTAGCCTCGGTAATCAGCAGCCTGTCTCAGTCCGCCACTGTATTCATGTCAGACGTCTCTGGAGACCCTGTCTATAGCATGTCCCCCACTGTAGACCCCAACGCTCACCTCCTGGGGCCCGACACAGCCTCAAGCAGTCTGGTGTTAGCAGTGACAGCTGACAGTCACAAATTTGCCTTTGCTGGAGTGGTTGGAGTGGGGTTAGCAGACGCAGGGTCCACAGACGGACTTGCTATGCTGTCCACAGCCAGTGTGTCTGAAGAACTGGTGCTGTCTAGTAACCTGGAATCTGGGAGTATTAAGCTGCCCGAGACTAATATGAACTTTGACCCTGACTGCTTCCTCAACAACCCCAAGCAAGGTCAGACCTACGGAGGGAATGGGCTGAAAACCGAGGACAGCAATGGGAGCAGCTGCAGTAACGGAGGGTTGAGGTGTTCCCCGCCGCTCAACGACAACGGTTACGTCTTCAATACCTCTCTGGTGAAGAACATCAAAACGGAGGACATGTCATTTGAACAGCAGCTGGCGAAAGAGAGTGCCTATCAGGTTGGAGAAGTGGTGAGAGGTGCTGTCAGTATGTCTGGTTCCTCAAACGGCGGTTCGGCCCCAAACTCCCTGGCTCTGACTCCCACTGGTTCACTGTTGCCGTCTGGAGGTGGACTCAGTCCCAGCACTACCCTTGAGCAGATGGATTTCTGTGCAATTGATGCCAAGCAAGACTACCCATCCAGTGTTATGTCAGAGGCGGGCTACGGCCAGTCAATCTCCAGCTCTCACCTGGTCCACCAGAGTCACTCCCCCAGCTTCTTCCTGCAAGGTTCACCACAGTCCCAAACCCAGAACAACTCCAGTTCGACCCAGAACTCTCACGACTCCAATGTCTACATGGGCCTGTCTGTCGTCAAGACAGACTCAACGGGAACTAATGGGCATCTCCACCACCATCATCATGCCCACCCCAGCCAGCGCACTGCCTCTAACTGCAACGGTGGCTCTCCAACCGAACGTAATGGACCAGCTGGGTCGCTCCAGCTTCTGCAGTACCAGAACCGCTTTCCAACACCGTGTCAGGAGCATGAGGAAGTGGGTGGTTTGGAACAGCCAATAGGAGCAGAACAAGGAGAAGGAGGTGTTCAAGAGAAGGACTCGGATGGTCTTATAAAACCAGGGGAGCACTTGCAGACTGGTGAAGGAGGAGAAGCCGAGGGTGTAGGAGGCGCAGAGCACTACCTCCAGCAACCAACGGAAGGTGGTGGAGTCGGGCCGGGATCTGGAGGAACGAGTGCGAGGGCAGAAAGTGGAAACCTGTGCAATGACACCGAGGCAAGTGGAACCACCAATCAACAGCTCCAGCCGCTCCTGCAAGGAGCCGGTTTGGTGCAGGGGCTTTTTAGCACCGTGGGCGCCCACCAGAGACTGGGCAGTAGTGGAACCAACGGAGGGGGCTCCATGGAGATTAATCTGGACCACTTTGACGTTTCCTTCGGGAATCAGTTCTCAGATCTCATCAATGACTTCATTTCGGTTGAAGGTGGAAGCGGAACGGCGGTAGTGGCGGGCGCCAACGCTCTCTACAGCCATCAGCTGATGACCCATTCGGGAACAGAGGGGCAGGTCTCCTCTGGAACTGCAGCACAACAAGGTGCAGACGAAGTAGCTCATGGGGCAAGGGGGTACAATTCTGCAGACCTCTGTTTTTAATATTTGTAAATGGAGTCTCTTATGCTCATCAAGGCTGTATTTATTTGATCAAAAATACAGAAAAAACAGTAATATTGTGAAATACTATTGCAATTTGTTATATTGGTTTCCTATTTTAATATACTTTAAAATATCAGGTTTCTGTGATGCAGTGCTGAATTTTCAGCATTATTACTCCAGTCTTTAGTGTTACATGATACGATGATTTATTATCAGTGTTGAAACAGTTGTGCGGTTTAATATTTTTTTTGGAACCTGTGATACTTTTTTCTTTGATTCTTTGATGAATAAAAAGTTAAAAAGAAGAGCATATATTCAAAATATAAATCTTTTCTAACAATATAAGTCTTTACTATCCCTTTTTATCCATTTAACACATCTTTGCTGAATAAAAGTATTAATTTCTTAAAAAGAAAGAAAGAAAAAAAATGACTGACCCCAAACTTTTGAATAGTAGCGTATATTGTAACACAAAATTTATATTTGAATAAACACTGTTCTTTTTAACTTTTTATTTTTCAAAGAATCCTGAAACAAGTATCACAGGTCCCAAAAATATTAAGCAGCACAACTGTTTCCAACATTGATTATGAATCAGCATATTAAAATGATTTCTGAAGGATCATGTGACACTGAAGACTGTAGTAGTGATGCTGACAGTTCATCTTTGCTTCACAGGAATAAATTATATTTTAAAGCATATTAAAATACAAAACTGTTAATTTATATTGCAATAATATTTCACAAAATTAAAGTTTTGTTCTGTATTTCAGCCTTGATGAGCATAAGAAACCTCTTTAAATTACAGTGAAAATTCAATTAAAATAATTATAAAAAGAAAAAGAAACTTCTTTAAAAATCTTACTGATCCCAAACTTTTGAACGGCGGTGTACATAGCATTTGCCATTTCTCTGCTAAACAGTGTGCCAGCATTTTCAATAAAATACATCAAAATGCATGGTTTAGCTTTATGTGTCAAGCTACTTTTAGGTTGCGTTAATATTATACCGTAACTTAGAATGTGTCTGCTCTCTGTAGGTGCTGGGAGCAGCCTGCATCACAAATGCAACAGTGCCAAACACCGTATCATCTCCCCAAAAGTGGACCCACGCACTGGAGGCGCCTACAGCAGCACCCACTCCGAGGTTCAGAACAACGACGTGTCAGAGGGAAAGACGGAGCACAGCCACGGCGGGGGCAAAAACGGCAGGGCAGGAGCAGACGGCGCCGGTGGAACGGGCGGCCGAGAGAAAAGGAACGGCAAGGTGCACAAGCCAGCACTGCTCCATCAGAACAGTATGGAGGTGTCCTCATCCAACCAGGTGGAAGTGCCAGATACCACCCAGAGCTCACCCGTCTCCATTAGCAGCGGGCTAAACTCCGACCCCGATATGGCCGACAGTCCTGTGGTGACAGGAATGGGCCATGTAGCCTCGGTAATCAGCAGCCTGTCTCAGTCCGCCACTGTATTCATGTCAGACGTCTCTGGAGACCCTGTCTATAGCATGTCCCCCACTGTAGACCCCAACGCTCACCTCCTGGGGCCCGACACAGCCTCAAGCAGTCTGGTGTTAGCAGTGACAGCTGACAGTCACAAATTTGCCTTTGCTGGAGTGGTTGGAGTGGGGTTAGCAGACGCAGGGTCCACAGACGGACTTGCTATGCTGTCCACAGCCAGTGTGTCTGAAGAACTGGTGCTGTCTAGTAACCTGGAATCTGGGAGTATTAAGCTGCCCGAGACTAATATGAACTTTGACCCTGACTGCTTCCTCAACAACCCCAAGCAAGGTCAGACCTACGGAGGGAATGGGCTGAAAACCGAGGACAGCAATGGGAGCAGCTGCAGTAACGGAGGGTTGAGGTGTTCCCCGCCGCTCAACGACAACGGTTACGTCTTCAATACCTCTCTGGTGAAGAACATCAAAACGGAGGACATGTCATTTGAACAGCAGCTGGCGAAAGAGAGTGCCTATCAGGTTGGAGAAGTGGTGAGAGGTGCTGTCAGTATGTCTGGTTCCTCAAACGGCGGTTCGGCCCCAAACTCCCTGGCTCTGACTCCCACTGGTTCACTGTTGCCGTCTGGAGGTGGACTCAGTCCCAGCACTACCCTTGAGCAGATGGATTTCTGTGCAATTGATGCCAAGCAAGACTACCCATCCAGTGTTATGTCAGAGGCGGGCTACGGCCAGTCAATCTCCAGCTCTCACCTGGTCCACCAGAGTCACTCCCCCAGCTTCTTCCTGCAAGGTTCACCACAGTCCCAAACCCAGAACAACTCCAGTTCGACCCAGAACTCTCACGACTCCAATGTCTACATGGGCCTGTCTGTCGTCAAGACAGACTCAACGGGAACTAATGGGCATCTCCACCACCATCATCATGCCCACCCCAGCCAGCGCACTGCCTCTAACTGCAACGGTGGCTCTCCAACCGAACGTAATGGACCAGCTGGGTCGCTCCAGCTTCTGCAGTACCAGAACCGCTTTCCAACACCGTGTCAGGAGCATGAGGAAGTGGGTGGTTTGGAACAGCCAATAGGAGCAGAACAAGGAGAAGGAGGTGTTCAAGAGAAGGACTCGGATGGTCTTATAAAACCAGGGGAGCACTTGCAGACTGGTGAAGGAGGAGAAGCCGAGGGTGTAGGAGGCGCAGAGCACTACCTCCAGCAACCAACGGAAGGTGGTGGAGTCGGGCCGGGATCTGGAGGAACGAGTGCGAGGGCAGAAAGTGGAAACCTGTGCAATGACACCGAGGCAAGTGGAACCACCAATCAACAGCTCCAGCCGCTCCTGCAAGGAGCCGGTTTGGTGCAGGGGCTTTTTAGCACCGTGGGCGCCCACCAGAGACTGGGCAGTAGTGGAACCAACGGAGGGGGCTCCATGGAGATTAATCTGGACCACTTTGACGTTTCCTTCGGGAATCAGTTCTCAGATCTCATCAATGACTTCATTTCGGTTGAAGGTGGAAGCGGAACGGCGGTAGTGGCGGGCGCCAACGCTCTCTACAGCCATCAGCTGATGACCCATTCGGGAACAGAGGGGCAGGTCTCCTCTGGAACTGCAGCACAACAAGGTGCAGACGAAGTAGCTCATGGGGCAAGGGGGTACAATTCTGCAGACCTCTGTCTCCAGTCCTGTTGCAGCCCTCAGTCTACGCAGGCTGGGGCAGTGGCGGGTGAGACAGGACAGCTGGCATATATGCAGGTGGCCGAGGCCGTGTCGGCAGCTGTGGCCCATGGAAACATGGGAATGTTACAGGCTACCGGAAGGCTGTTTGTGGTGACAGACTATTCTCCAGAGTGGTCTTATCCTGAGGTGAGTTTGTGACACTTCTGCAGAGCAAAAAAAACTTGACTGCTATGGATGTGTGCTAGAATAGCCAGCAGGGGGCAGCAGAGATCAAAGCAAATGTCCAAACGTGGAGGGAAAATCTGCCGAATTTTGTGGAATGGATTTAAACATAGTAAAATGATTAATACTCTGTAATAACAGAGGGGTAACTAAGGGGTAGTTTACCCAAATTCTGTCATCATTTACTCCCCCTCAAGTTGTTCCAAACCTGTATGAATTTTTTTTTTATCTGTTGAACACAAATTAAGATATTTTGAAAAATGCTGGTAGCCAAACAGTTGACGGTAGCCATTGACTTCTCTGGGGTCGGTTGCATAAATGTTTTAGACTAGTCTTAAAAATTTGTCAGCTAATTTTTTTCTTTAAGACAACTTCTTTCTTTTTTTTTATTCAGTTAAATAAAAATGTAGATTAGTCTAAGCTGAACTAAAAAAATAAGACTGATTACCCTTTGGTTAACTGCTAGTTGGTCAGACTAGTACTTAAGACACTGTCTTAACATAGAGGCTAAGTTTATGCAACTGGCCCCTGTAGTATAGAAAAAAAATAATACAGTTTGGTTACTGTTTTGTTACACACCCTTTTCAAAATATCTTATTTTGTGTTCAACAGAAAAAAGAAACTCATACAGGTTCGGACCAACCTGAGGGTCAGTAAATAATGACAGATTTTTCATTTATGGGTGAACCGTCACTTTAAATAAGCAAAGGCCAGGGGACATGAAGGAATTTGTGTAATTCTGTGGAAACCTGTGGAATGAAAGCTTACTGTTCACATGGGAATCGGCCACAAGCTGTTTAATGCAGGAATAGATTTGAGTCTTGTGAGGTCTGAATGCTAAGCTCAATATCTTCTCTACAACAAGTGACGTATGTATTTGTCCCAGAAGCCCCTGGGCCACATGAGACACATGCTCGGCCTGTTATTAACATGCCCATTGGCAAGGAAGCAGTCGGACTAATATAGACCGAGGGCTATTAGATCTCACCACAACAAAACTTCAGCTCTCACAAACCCTGGTTATTTTTCCTGTGACATTTTCCTTGTTGAAAAAAGATATCATCATAGATGCGCTTTAATTCAGTCTTTCTTGTAGTGTACTGACATTTAAAATAAATGCATATTTACTACAAAAAAATACATGTCGGATTAAAAGAGAATATTGTCAAATCTGACAGTGCAAGCACACAGTAAATGTAACCAGTGTTGGGGAAAGTTACTTTTAAAAGTAATGCATTACAATACTGCGTTACTCCCTACAAAAGTAACTAATTACGTTACTTAGTTACTTTTTATGGAAAGTAATGCGTTATATTACTTTTGCATTACTTTCACGTTACTTTTTAAATATGAACAGGGCTTGATTGTTTTTAATATAAGAAGTTCTATTTATAGTAAATGTAAAAGCCCTTTCACACCAAAAAGTGTAATGAATAAACCTCAGGCTGAAGGAAAAGTAAATTCACGTCTGTACAGTAGAACGCAGGAGAAGAAACACTCTTCAGCAATAAAAAAAAACAATGAAGCACAATTGTTAGTTTCTCTAAAGTAATTTTTGCTTATTAGTATGGTTGAACTGGATCATCAAAGGTCAGCAGCAAAGATATTGGTTAATAAAATGGGATTAGATACATTTGTGTTATTTAACATATTTAATTATTGCAGGTTTGCGTCATATTCTGAGTTTGCATTTCACTGTTTTAATTCATTTTGATGAATACTAAATCTGTTTTTTGTGAGTGGAATGAATTAATGCACATTCACATTTAGTCTAGAACTACAGTAACATCATATTCACACAGCACACACAACTCCTCTGCACTTCCGATTTCTCCCAATATGGGGACAGGAGACTTGTCAGTCAATAAATGGGAAAACAAAGTAACTGGCATTACTTTTTTGAAAAAGTAACTCAGATATTTTCTTGTAAATTAAAAAAGTAATGTGTTACTTCACTAGTTACTTGAAAAACGTAATCTGATTACATAACTCGCGTTACTTGTAATGCGTTACCCCCAACACTGAATGTAACCAACCAATTTCGGGACTGATAGCACCGTTGCAAGCTTTAACAGTTTACATTAAAGGAAACTGTGCTCATTTATATATAATATTGGTATTTATTTCTCAGGGTGGTGTGAAGGTGTTGATCACCGGTCCATGGCAGGAGGCCAGCAGTGAATATACCTGTCTGTTTGATCAGATAACAGTTCCGGCCTCCCTCATCCAGCCCGGGGTGCTACGCTGTTACTGCCCAGGTATTTCATTACAATGCATGTATATACAGACATTTAAAATTGTCATTTTAAAGGGAAAGGGTGATGCAGCTACATTTCATTATACTAAAATCATCAAATAAAGATAAAAAGTAGACAGTACATCAGTCAGTGTGCCACATGGTCCCAATCCAACATCTTATTTTAGGGTTCATGCTAAAAATAAATAAATAAGTAAATAAATAAACAGGTAATATTTCAAACTTTGTGTGTTGGGTCTCTATACTGTAGTCCATGAATATATCATGTGGTCTTTATGAACAAACAAAGGACTGTTCTTTAACAGCTGTCATAGAGAACTCATTAAAATTCCACTGTTACATAACTAACTAAATAAATAAATGCAAATACTCTGAGCCATCACTCTTACCGTTGTAAATGGTTTGCAAATGTGTGGACTTCACACTGTAAGCCATTTCTTTGCACATTAAAAATGATTAATTTATGTCTTATTTCCTTTCAAAGCTCATGACACAGGCCTGGTGACCCTGCAGGTGGCAGCCAGCAGTCAAATCATCTCCAATTCAGTGGTGTTTGAGTATAAAGCCCGTGCCCTGCCTGCCCTGCCCTCTTCTCAACACGACTGGCTCTCACTGGATGGTACGTTTGAGATTTATCTTGCGTTACATCATATACCGCTGTTACACAGTTGTGTTTTTGGTTGTCATCATTTTGCATTTATTCATTTTCAGCAATACACTGTAAACATTGGATGTTTCATCTGAATTCATGTTTTTTTTATGCATTTTGAATACTTAATATTATATTTGTGTATTGCCAAATGTTGTTTGTCTGAAAAACCTCTGAATGGCTGATGGCTGACACTTCTTCAAGCTTTGTTTCTTAAGAATTAAATGACTGGCAGGTGAATCAATAAAGACTTGGTTGATGTTAAACTATTGTTTTGCATGCATTTTAATCAAGGTGGCCAGGTAGTGTTTGTCTAGTCTTCAAGTAAAATAAAAACAACTCACAGAGACTCTTTCTTGGCCTGAATAAGCAAGTTGGTCAAACTGGGCTGGTAGTCGTTTTCAGATATTTTAAAGATGAATGCCATTCAATGGAGAATCCATTTTGATAAAAGAACACTGAAAAGGCTTTAAAAGACTTGTTTGTTCTTGCACTCATGGTGTATGTTTTTGTGCTTCAGCTGTTTGTGGAATATATACTAGTCAGGTTATAAGGACTTGTGCGGACTTGTTCTGTGGTAAAAATATGGTTTGTTGTTTATTTTCTGAGGGTGAATCTCAAGAGGAAGTATCCAGGTCATATTTAGTAATAATAAAAATGTTTATTTTAATAGAAAATCTCATTGCTTTATATTTTGTGAACATTTAAATGGCAAACAATAAATAAATAAAGCCTGAATTTCACTAAAAACCAACTGAAAATAGATATTTTGCCTAAAAATGACAATTAAGCACGTCCCCCGTGTCCTCAACTTTAATGTGAAAAAACATAATTGCCATTTTCTTAGAGTGATTGTAATTATCATTATTCTCAAAGATAGTTGTCATTAGTTTGTCAGTACTGTAATAGAGTAATTCAAATTAGTCCAGTCTGGACATATTTAAATTCAATTAGCATAAACTTCAGTATTTAAATATAGAATTTTGGAGTAAGTAGAGTTTGATGTTTATTTTATTTTACAACTGAAGCAATTTATCTAAATAATGTAAACAGATCTTATGGGTCCTAAAAATAGACTTTGCCTATTTTTCCACATTTCTTTAATTAAGTGAAATTCAGCCCTGCACCAACAACTTAGACTCTAGTTGTATTTGAGGCCACCCCGATGTTTACAGTTAAAGATGTTAAAATGGAAAAACGTAAAATAACTGAAAAATAGTAATCTGAGTTTATGAGAGAGCTTCAGTTCTCCCAGCATGCTGTCTGCGTGCATCCGGCGCGTTATGTGCGTGCGTGGCGCTGAACGATACACCGCCTGGCCTGATTTGTCATAATGCAGAGAGGAGAAAAACAGTTTATCTGCAGTATTGCAGGTACTGGACCACAGGACAGAGGATGAGAGAGGCAGGAGCAGTAAACCTAACTTCTGTTGACACAGATTTGTCGCAAAACACACGTGTGAGCGACCATCACATTGTTCCAAGCGGTTATATGAATGATCGTAGCGGCTCCATTGTGTTTCGCTGCCACTCCCAAAAGAAAAACACGTCCACATCCAACCACCACACGACTTCAGATTCGCGCGGTTTTAGTCAAAAGCGAATCAAAAACATCAAAAGCGAAAAGCTTCGGGTCCAGGAGCTGTCGTCAAATGTTATAAAACAGATAAACGTTTTCAAAAAAGCGCAAACAAAATATGCAAAAACCGTCGCGGTTCCGAGACGAATGGTTGGTGCGCGTAGAGCGTTCGCAGTATAAAAGATACGACAACACGTAGATTTCTTTCTTTTTTTTCTATCTAATCGACTGTTTTCCGTTTGAAAAAGATGACTGTGATGCCTGCGAGTGTTTGGAGAGCCAGCCGGTGGCGCACGACTGCGCGTAAAGCGGTACGTAAAGCGCGTACCTGCGGCGGATGAAGCCCCGCGTCTCCATGAGCGAGCGGAGAAGATAAAGCATCGGCAGCAGGGATGGGGAGGGAACAGGAGGAGGTGTAGAGAAGGGGGACGAGGGGTTTTTATTTCTCTCCCTACATACTCCGCACTTACACTTTGTTCTATTGTTGTTGGCTCCGCTGCCAAGCGGCTCCTGCGGTTAGTTTGACGCTGGATGGAGAACATGTGTGAGTGACAGACAACACGCTGGCTGATTCGGGTTAGTACGCGTGGTTTTTTTCATACTGACATGAACTTGATCCACATGCACAGGCTTTTTAAAGATGAATATAGGTTGTACAGTGTCTTTGTTGTGTGTCCTGCAATATTCTTTCCCTTGGTTGTGATGTTTCAACAGCAGTGAGAGCATTTTCTCTGCTGGAAAGATATTTCATTGCATTTTGGAGAGCTCATGGGTGAAGTGTGGAAAATATTCACTACTATACACTTCAGCATGGAAGTTTCCTTGAATGGTTGTAGAATTATGATGTTGTACAGGTTATAACCAGGTCAGATTGTGTGCAAAGGCTTGCAAACTTTTACCAACCTGTGCTCTCAGAGACCTCCAGATCTCCTAAAGCATGTGGTTACAATGAGTCAGTCAGGTGTAGTGCATCTGTCTTCAGAACCACAGGCAGTGGACAGCGACAGTGATGCTGAGAGGATCAGACTGTTGCCCTTCTTCTGTTAAGCACTCCAGAGGGAGAGGACGAATATACTGTGCCATGACCCTTGTTGACTCTTTTTCTAGAATTATACAGTGTAATAATGAGATGTGGTGTTGTTTTGCTGGCAGACCTATTAGAATTGTTTTACCAACCTGTTGACAACTTTTGTCATTTCCCTTTTCATTAAGTCTTTTCGCTGTTTTTATTATTATTACGAACAACACTAGTGTCTAATCTGTGTGTGTCAAATTACAATCTGCAATCCTTGCCACATCTCACTGAAATCACATCACAAAAGTCAAGAGGATTTCAACCCAAATCGAGTAACTTCTGTATTCTGCCTACATGCCCTTACAAGGAAACTTCTAACTAGGTCACCATAATCAACCCTAAATCTGCAGTTCAAAGTTCCTTGTTCTGCTTTAATGAGATTTCCTGTGGAATTCTAGGAATTGCGGTCAGGGCTTGAGTCCGCTAATGGAGCACCCACACAGATGTGTCTCATCCATGCTGTTTTTGCCCTCGATTGAGATTAAACTGTTTTTTGTTTGTATGTCTACTCTCCATGCAGACTGAACTAAATCTGAGAACGTACTGTGTTGCACTCACTTTTAGTTTCATGTGTAATTAGAGTACACAACTCTTTGTGGAGATTCTGTTTTTGTTTTGTTTTTTCATTTTATGCTTTTTTTTTGTAATGGTCATTCAGAGAGTGTTTTTTTTTTGTTTGTTTGTTTTTTTGCTAAATTTTCAGTTAGTTTCATTGTCAGTAATGTATTTGACATATTTTGAAAAACAGTCAAAGTTCTTTCTTTGTGTGTGTGACCACAGTATTTAGAGTATTTTAAGTAAAACTCTTTGAAGCCTATTGTTGTCCATTACTTGCAGACATATATGCATAATATCTCAAGAAAGTCAAAAATAAAGAAAGAAAAACATTCACACATAAACAATAGTGCCTTTGTTTCCAGCGGCCAAAGTCTTTGTGCTGGAAGCTTTTGTTTGTCAAAGTTGTGGTCTGAGGCAGTACATGTCTGATAAACCTTGAACGGGGATTCGAATTGCCAATATTGAATTGTTTTTAAGCAGAAGGGATGTCTCCGATTAGACAAGGAAAGTTCATACAAATAATCCGTTCTGGGAGTATGACTGACATTATTGTCATAGCATCCTCGCCTCTGTCCAATTCTATCCAAAACAAGCACCTGTTCAAGGGTCAAGATCTACCAGATCTACCAATGTCCACAGCATTAGGAGCTGTTATCCCAGCTTTGAGTCCATGCTGAGCTAAATCCCCTTAAGACAAAATCATTGCACGTTATCTGCTAAATCCTGTCGAAAGGGTAATTTGTGTGATTTCGTTTTTTCCATTTCTGTTCGATGCATTTATAGTGATGGGTTTAAACAGGATATTAGTCTGTTATAGATTTAAAGCAAATCCTGTGGAAATGCCCAGCAGAGCATGAGCTCTTTTAAACCCTAAAAATAAAAATGAAAGAGTCAATATGCTCTCTGAGCTCAGATAGTGAATATTGGATTGCTTATGGGGAAAAAATTATATAGCAATCATCCAGAGTTTAATAAGTAATCATAAACACTGTACACATCCTATTTTCTCTGCACATTAGACTTTCTATTTTGTTTAAGATGCATTGGTTATTTAATAGTATATTATTGTCATTAATCAGCAGACAGTAATTGGAAATTTATTTAAGAGAGATGGCAGCTGTGTTTCATCAAATGATTGAGAAGAGTGTCACAACCAACACTTTAAATATGTTTTGGATTGCTGTACAGTCTCAGCTCACCAGATATGGTTTCTTCCACATCAGTTCTCCAAACCGGCCTGCATGATGGGAAATTGCATTTTGCACCTTAACTTAATATGCAAAACAACACTGTCAGCAAGTGCAGTTTAATGTGCAATAATCATTCCTTGCCATATGGATGCATTGTCAAATGCTTGTTTAATTTCTGATGACTGTAAAGCCCATAGTCTCTTTATTACCAATCTCAGGCACAATAAACCGCAACAGATCTTCAACAAGTGAGTGATTTTGAGCCCCTGTTGCGCTTGTAGCTGTAAAGTGGTGCAGAAGCCCCCACTCTCAAGAGCATGATGCAACTGTGATGAAATAGAGAAACCGGCTTGGGCTCTCTGCATTAGGATATTACCATGAGATACTCAAACATCCAGCGAATAGAGAGTTTAGTCCTCTCACTCAAGGCTTGTGCTCAACCACATGAGGTCCGCTTGACCAGGAGAGCTACCCAGGCCAAAGGAGCAGCACCAAGGCTGATGTAACATCTCCTGAAAAACGGTAACACACATTGGCACAGTCTGTTAAGTACTGTTGGGGTTTTTTTCTGGACACCTTTGGGCTAGTTTATGCATGTGCATCGTCATTGGACTGTGTTGGTGAAGGTTGTTGTTGGGTGCTTGGGAAAAGTCAGATTTATGTGCACAAACTCAAGATGTCATTTTCTATACTTTTAAAAGATAGCCTCATATGCATTTATGATTTTCTGAAGAATCTTTTTAAAGTGCATATTAAAAGTTGAAATTAACTGTTGGAACTGTGTGATGCTTGCTTTTTGCATGCATTTGTTTGTTGTGACATGTCTTGGGAGCTGATTTTTGTATAGGAATTCAAGAAATTGGACCAATTTTTGACATTGAAATGACTGCGAAAAATGGTCAAGTTACCTTGAATTCACCTTATATATTCACCTCAATACAGCAAATGCAAATAACGTCGCCTCATCCATTTCCTCTAAACATATTCTCCATGGCAGCGTTAATAAACATGAGTTAGGTCTGTCTGTTTTGAAATGCTGCCCCTCAACAGTTTCAGGTTTGACACAAAGCTCTCAAGCGTTCTGTTGCCTGGCTGGTCTGCTGGCGTCTGATTGGTCGTCTCCAGGCTGCTGGAGGTGTAGTAGAGTGTTGATTATGTCACAGCCCCGTTGTAGAGCAATTTGGTCCCTCCTCCCCTTTACCCTCCCCCCCAGCCTACATGAGAGTACGTGTGCCGCATTCTGAGTGGAGGGAGCAAGAGAGAGAGAGAAAGACAGACAGCCAGCCAGCAGCAGGTGGAAATGACATCATCTGCACTGCACCAACACTGCAGTAGTGTTTGAACAAAGCTGCACTGGAGCTCCGTTTCGGAGCGGCTCTTTTTGTCTGCAAGGGTGGATATTTGTGGAGGAAAAACACAGAATCCAATGCATGCGTGTATGTCCATTCATTAGAATTAGATTCACTTTCATTCACCGTGTGAAACGGAACTGGTGTCAATGTGGTATATGCAGGGAATTTGGCTTGATGTTAGCGGTCACTGTAAAAAAACAAAAACAAAAAAACAATTATGAGCTTACATACAAGAGCCTGCAAGTTGCTGAAAACCATGTTTTTTTTTTTTGGATATGCAAGCTAGTTACTATTTGATATGGACAAATGGAAATGGATCAATGAGAAATAATGAATGAATGAATGTATGTATGAAGATGAAGAGTATTGAATATGTTATAAATGTAATCTTTGTATGCAAGTTTGCTTTGTGCATTTAAAAAATCAATTTTGAGGTTGTTTTTTAATAAAAAAAATAATAATAATGAAAATGAACTATTTTCATTTGTTTGTTTGTTTTCTATTTTTACAATCTCAGCTACACCATGTAGACATTTTTTAAAATCAAATATATTTGTGTAAATTTCAAAAATAATTTTTAATTCAGAAATTGTAATTCATCATGGAAGAGGTGTATTTTAAATAACTTAATACTGTAAAGTCGGACAAAAAAATGAGCATCATATAATTGACCCATATAAAGTAGTAAAGTGAAATTCACAATATATTTTACTTCTGTAACATTACATTTTGTCTAAGTTAAACAAGACATTCATCGAGAAAAAATATAGGACAGCACTTTCTTTTTTTAATTTACCAGTGAAAAATCACCATACCAGTGATTTTCCACCTTATATAACCGTATATACAGTTGAAATGCCTACTCGCTGCCAGTGTGAACGCTCCTATAAACGGCCTTGGTGATGTCAGCAGACAAAGAAATTTGTCTCAGAAAATTGTGGATGAAACACAAACATTATTTTCTTTGGAATAACATGCACTGATGAATCATGCACAATAACACTGGGAACGTCTGTTAAGAAAGTAAATAGAGTTTGACTTCATGTTGATTTTAAAGTCAGTTGAGATGTACACATAACAATCTAAATTCCCTTATGTTTTATGCAGATAACCAGTTCAGAATGTCCATCCTGGAACGCCTAGAGCAGATGGAGCGAAGGATGGCAGAGATGGCCGGTCAGCAGCAGCAACAGCAACAGCAACTGAGCAGTGGAGGACCATCTGAGAGTGGAGGAACCGGAACAGGAGGAGAAGAAGGAAGAAGCAATTCTGAACAGGTGCAGGTATCATTCTGTGCTACATTGTCTTGCTCCAAACTAATAGATATCCCCATTAGCTTCTTGAATTGACTTGGTTCTTGATTCTTTGTTTTAGTTCTCACCAGGTCAGGGTCAGAGCCAGGGTCAAGGTCCAGCTGGCAACTCCTTTGAGAGCCGTGTGGTGGTAGTTTGTGAAAAGATGATGAACCGCGCATGCTGGGCCAAGTCCAAGCACCTGATCCACTCCAAGACGTTCAGGGGCATGACTCTTCTTCATCTGGCAGCCGCCCAGGGCTACAACACACTAATCCAAACACTTATCAAGTGGCGGTGAGTATACTGATTGTATACCTTAACTAAATGCACATGTATATTGCATTATTCAACTGTTTTGTATTGTTTTCTGTGCTGTTTTTTTACAGCACTAAGCACGCAGACAGTATTGACCTGGAACTTGAGGTCGATCCTCTAAACGTGGATCATTTCTCTTGCACACCACTGGTGAGTGTTAACACTAGGTCAGGATACTTTAATCATGATACCATGTAGCTTCACAGTGTTGTTTGGATGAGTTGTTTCATATAGAAGGGGCATACAAATTAAATGCAACTCAATTTTCTTCTCTTCAGATGTGGGCTTGCGCTTTGGGTCATATGGAAGCAGCAGTGGTTCTGTATAAATGGGATCGGCGAGCTTTGGCCATCCCAGATTCTTTGGGTCGCTTACCGCTGGCTATTGCCCGGTCCCGTGGCCATACCAAGCTGGCAGAGTGTCTGGAAAGCTTTCAAAGGGAGGAGCAGCAGTCAGGAGCACTGAATACAACTCCCAGCATGCCTTTCTCACCATCTACTGAGGCCTCAGCCGCAGAGGGGTGGATGAATGTTTGGGGTTCAGAGACATCTTCAGTTGGGCTGAAAGGAAGCAATATCACTAGTTCTGCTTCCAGTTCCAGCTCAGGTGAGAACTGGAAACTTTCATTCTATCTGGACTGTCAGTCTTCAACAGTCTTTCATGTGCATGTTGAATTAAGAAAAACCTATTAAATGTGGAAAGACCTTGCATAAACAAACGAGTGCTTTGTAAGGAGATGGTTCAGGTTGGGTGACAGGCTGTGTTTAATTTGGTCAAACATTCTTCTAAGACACTTTCTTTGTACTTTTGCAGACTTGAGGAGACCCAGGTCGGAACCATCTAGTTTCTATAGCAGCGTTAGTCACGGGGATGCCCCGTTGAGCAAGAAACACAAACCCAACCCTGAGACCCTTCAAACTCAGCCCAGCAAACCCTGCTCTGCACCTCTCGGACTAGAAGAACAGGCCCACAAGCCTAAAACGTGCCCTTCTAAACCGAGGGAAGGTACTGCGGAGAAAGAGCAAGGAGATGGTGAGCAGTCTCAGACTAAGCTGGGCTCAACTTGTGGAGGTGGGTGCTGGGGTTCCAGACAGGCTGCAGGACGCAGAGTGCCAACTGTAGGACTTGGCAAGGAAAGGCTCGCGAACAGACTGAGATTAAGAGAGATTGCTAGTGTGGGAACAATCTCTGATCTGCGGACAACCCAAGAGGATCTGGAGAACACAGGAGACCTGCAGGTGAGGCATAGAGAAGGTACTCGAGCAGACTGCGAAACTTTTTTTTGTAGTGATATAGGATAAAAGTAAAGTCTGTCAGATCTTGCAAAACTTGCATTGGCTTCTGTCTGATGTCTCAGTGGCAATATTGTTAGCAATTTTGAAAGTACCTATTAAAGTACCTATTAAAACTATTTGTTTCAGAACATGAACATGATGACTTTAGCAGAGGAAGTCATTGAGGCGACATCTGATCGCATCAAGAGGGAAAACTTTGTTGCATCAGAAACTACACTGGATGGTGTTGGAGTCAGCAGCACCATGTCCATGAGCTGGTTGGCCAGTTACCTTGGAGATGCAGAGAGGTGATTCATCAAAAAGTTCTATAATTTGTTCTCAAGAATTCCAGTTACAGTCCCTTTGGGTTCTTGTGTGTAATTGTTTTTTCCAATTGTTCCCAGGTTCCTGTTTAACAAGCCCCTAACTTCCTCTCCTGGCCTGGGCCCAGTCCACGGTGGAGGACAGCCAGAACTCGATGGTCCTCTTGGGAAGCTTGGCCTCCAGACCCCTGCTGAATGGACTGCGCTCCTCAATGCCTCCCACAACAAGGAGGAGCGCGACCTGACCCAGCTGGCCCTGTCTGATCCCGAACAGAGAGAACTTTATGAGGCAGCCCGGCAGGTCCAGAACACCTTCCGCAAATACAAGGTAGGGCAGGGCTTCACCCAGGTGCCAGGGTCACCCATGCAGGTTATCAGTGGTGTGTTGCCAGTGTTTGTGATGGTCCAATTTCAAAGGTCTTGATGTATTGTGTTGTGTTGTATGGTGTTCCTGAACTTAAGGTAAATTAATCTGGATCTTTGCAGTCCTGTGTTGTGAAAGGTGGTATGATTGTTGTGCACTCAAAAGGCAGAAATAGGGTCACTGTTGTTGACAAGCATGGGGAAATTTGCTTGAGCTTAGCATGGCCTTGCTATAAGGAATGATTGCATTGTTCCCTCTATCTATCTGTCTGTCTTAACGGGATGCGCAGATATCCCTGAGTCCACACCATGTTGGTTGTTAAGAGCAGATTTCTCCCAGTGTTCCGCTGGTGTGCAGTGCTCTGAGGAATAACCTTCTCTCAGGTGTCAGAGCATATCGACGCAACTTTACCATTCTATGAAGACACCTTGGCCAGGCACAAAGGAATCAGATGCCATCATCTCTGTGGCCTTGCAGGCCTCCTTGTGAACTCTAATTTCTCTCCTGTCCTCTCCACCCTACCTTATCCCCCTCTTCCCCCATCCTGCAGGGTCGTCCGCTTCGGGAGCAGCAGGAACTGGCAGCTGCTGTCATTCAGCGCTGTTATAAGAGGTACAAACAGGTAGGCAGAGACACTCAGAATTCTGTATGTGTACACTTTTGAGTGGTCAGTTATTAAAGGCATTACGAGAATGCCTTCAATTCCTTCCTCTCTCTTCCCCAAGCTGACATGGATAGCCTTGAAGGTAACACTTCTGCTTCATCTACAACTACTACTGCTTTGAAATGGAAGTTCGTTAGTGGTGCTTCTTTATCACTTTTACCACTTCTTTATCACTTTGCTTATACTTAGGGTTATGGATATGAACCAAACTTGTACTAACAAAGATGGATGCAAGTTTAAATAATGCAGCTTGCTAAGAATGGATTAGCTATTTAGCTACTTTTCCTGTCTTACCTGACTTCTAAAACAATAAAACTGGCAAAAAAATGTCATAGTTCATTTAGATTCAGTCCACGTTTTGAGACTTGAGGCAGTAAGCAACCACCTGGAAATGACCTAGCACGTTCTGTTGTGCTATTTTGTGTTCAAAAACATTCAAAACAGCTTAGCAACTGCATAGCAACTGTCAATCATCCACAACACATCTAATTTAATGTTGATGGTGTAGTTTGGCAGTGTTGATATTTGTTTTGTATTAGCAAAATGGCTAACAGAGTAGTTTGCTACAGATCTCTCTCTCTCTCTGTCATGTGACACAAGTTTCTTTGTCTGTCCTCTTGGCAGTATGCACTTTATAAGAAGATGACGCTGGCCGCCATCCTTATCCAGAGTAAATTCCGCAGCTACCACGAACAGAAGAAGTTCCAGCAGAGTCGCAGGGCAGCCATGCTGATCCAGCAATATTACCGCAGCTACAAAGAGCTTGGCCGGCCGAACCCACGCAGCCGAGCCACTGCAGCTGCACTGGTGCAGCAAAAACTCAGGTACAAGAACAGCAATCCAGTAAGGGCTAACCTAGTGGTTGAAGATCGAACAAATCAGATATTATAAAAGTTTTTGTCAAATACTCATGACATCTGCACACTCTTATTGGTGTGAGCACTTTGGCGCCTCCAGTGGCCAAGCTAGGTACTGCTTAATGATTCAAAACTTTTCATGTAATACACCACATTTAGAATTAAAATGCCACCCTCATGTATAGAATTAAGCATTCATCATCCAAGTATAATAGGCAGTTAAAAGACCTTTTACATGGCCATCACCTTGGAGTTTAGTTCTGAATTGAGTTCCCAAAGTCCATTTGTGTGTACACATGCTTTTACTAAGCAACCTTGTGTGTTCAAGCCTCACAAGGAGTGTTGCGTGCATTAATTGAGTGTCATTTTGCCATTCTAAAGTGTACTGTCGTTTTGGATGAATTGCTAAGTATGTGCCAACACTTCAAATGTGACACACTGCCAAGTCGACTTTCTAAAGAATGGCAGCATTCGAAACCCTCCTGTTTACTTTAAGAGACAATCTGTTGTTGAAACAGCGCCAGGAAATGATTTACTTCACTAACAGTTTGAGTCCAAGTACACATAGAAGCATCGTTATTTTTGCATGCCATTTGTTGTCTCACAACCTGTTGAAGCAATTGCAGTTTTCAGTTTTCTAGGAGTGCAGAATATTACTTTTGCGTACACTTAGAGTTAAGGATTTGAACAAACCCCTAAATGTTAGGTATTAGCATGCAAAATTTGTGCTCTGGACAATTCCTCGAATCAGGTTTCTAGTTGAGGGTAGGTGTAATGTTATTTTTTGCCTGGTAGACAATAAAGTGTGCAAGAAAGTCCTGTAGACTTGCATTGAGGGATGAACCCTAGCCATATCATAGGGACTTGTGGGTGGACTCTTTGTAACATTTGAAACTGAATCTTTCGCACACCCTAGAATCATAGCAGCAATTTTTGCACGTGCTTATTTTTTTTCTTCCAGAAATGTCTGGTTTGTACAAAACCACTCATGCTGATCATTTTGTTTTAGAAGCAGTTTACTGACCAAGAGACAAGACCAGGCTGCCAGAAAAATAATGAGGTTTCTGCTGCGGTGCCGTCACAGGTAGGCCAAAGACGAGAACTTCCAGCAGGCGCATTGTGTTCCTACGGCCCTGTTGTTCTTCTAGCATGCACAAACTCACTCTATGGTATACTTGCAGCTTTTAGATGAATCAGTCTTTAATATCCTGCTGTTTAAAAAGGTTAGAGGCACATTTCATAATCTCTCAAGCACATCAACACAATTGTCAGGAGTCATAGGACAGCAACAGACAAACCTTGGTGTTTTCATGGCTCTGTTAGAAAGCCCTATTGTGTTTGGTCCCAATTTCCCCAACCCAACCCAACCTCAGTGTGTACTAATAGCTGTCTGGTGTTGTTTTGCTGTTTATGCAAAGCCCCTTGATGGACCATAGACTATTCAAACGGGTGAGTGCAGCCTCAGTAAATCAGTTCGTACCCCTCGATTTCTCTTCTTTTTATCTCCCTGTCTCTCCCTTTTCTTTCATCTTGTTCTTCGTCCATGTACCTTGATTTCAGACTCTGCTGTTCCCTATGACTCTCTCTGTCCTTTCTTACCCTCTTTTCTTTTACCTTATTTTCTCTATTGCTTTATGCCTGCATGCATGACGGCCGACTGGAGCCCGAGTTGACTGAGCCTTATATGAGAGAGAGAGGACTATAGATCCAACTAACCAACAAATACAGATGATGCATTAATTGCAAAACTAACAATGCACTCTCTCTCTCTCTCTCTCTCTCTCTCTTTTTCTCTCAATCTCTCTTTCGATCCCTCTATCTCCCTAAAGTCTCCTCCATCTCTCTTGTTATGAGGATGCTTATGACAAAACTAAGGACTGCTAGGTAGTGCATTTGGCAATTGCATGATGGCTAAAGACATGGAGCATCAGGGCATGCTTGAAATAACATCCCTTTCTCTATGGAAGAGGAAATGTCTTGAATGCCTGGCTGCCTGTTTTATACATCTCTTTCAGCTTTTATTAGCTTGATTTGGGGGCTGAGGGTGGGACGGGGGTCAAACTGTGAGCTAACGACATGTTTGGGGGTTTAAATTGTCTTTAAGATGTTGAATAATAAGTTCTAAATGTAGAAGTATAACATGATGAAAAAATCTAAATATTTAATTAAGTTGAATTTCTGTGATGTATTGTGCATGAATTGTAGGGTTGCATATTGTCACTTTTTAAAGGTTATTCTGTAGTGTTAAGATGGATGGTTTACTTAGGATTATTTTAGATCCTGAGTTTTTTTTTAATATATTAATATGTGTTTGCTTTGTAGTCTGATTGTAGACTCTTAGATGTAAAAAGTAAATTTCAAAGAAAACCATTTTTCCCACAGATTAAAAAAAAATTACAAAAAATGACTTTTGTCCTATACAGTGGCCAAAAAAGTATTTGGACATTTAAATCACACTTAAAAATGTGTGAATGTTGTTGGATTAAATGCACAATATCCAACCATGTATCATCTGTGCTCAAATCCTGGACAAGAACTACTTTTCTGAGCCATATTTGCTTTGACTTTTGAGCAGCTGGATTGCGGACATATTCCACTAACGTTTGACAACCACAAAGTTTCCAAATGTTCATTTTAAACAGTAAATCTACTGTTAAACCTTCTGTTCTGCTTGAAAGGTGTGCTTGTGCTATCTTTCTTTAAAATAATTGACACTTGCTTTGATGTTTTGTTATCTAATGCCATTACATTAAGACGTTTTTAAGTGTGACCTAGCTTTCTGAGTCACTGTATCTGTGTTCTATATGTTCCTTGAGGCTTTAAAGATCTTTGTCATTTATAGTGGGGTATATTTGTTGTTCTTTGTTGATGCCAGTGAGGAGACAGTAATGAAACTGGCAGGTGTATTGGTTAATGGTCTGTGATTCCTCTGAGGGCCCAGAATACTTGTGAACCCTCAGGCTAACCCTGCAAAACTCTGTTTTTTTGGTCTATTTTCAGGGCGAAAGAATTGAGAAAGGCCAAGGAACATGAGAGCGCAGCAAAGAGCCCCGTCGCAATGTAACATCTCCGAGCAGACTCTTTCTCTTCATTGCGTTTTTATGAGAGACAAACAATTTACGAAAAAAGCAAAAATTATTCAGGAAGGGGGAGACGGAAGATCATCGGATATGCGACGGTTGAACTCTAGCAGCGTTGTGACTGATTCTGCTCCTGCATTGTGTATTTTCTTGCTACCGGGGAACTGAAATCAAGACTATTGGGGAAATATGACATTATCTTCATGGCATTTTTGCACTCTTCATAGATTTTTTTTCTTTAGATTACAACAAAAACAAAGGAAGACCAAGGAGCAAAGACTTTTTATTCCAACGACGCTTGTAAAATATCACGCGACATGAACAGATCAACGTCAGAAAAACGTCATGCTGGAAGCCGCTTCAGATTACATTTTTATATTTTGAAAGGAAAAAAGACAACAATCAACAAGTTTGGGGGGAAAAAAAAAGAACAAAACTTAGAAAATGTAAACCAAAAAAAGGCCTCATTTCAGTGACCATATGCATGCAGAGTATTTGAAATCAATCTCTCATCTCCACGAATCTTTGTTTTTGACAAATGCTGTCCGTTCATTCAAAGGGAAGCCTTCATATGAATGTAGATGGGGTCAGGGCAAAAATGCTGGGTTTGAAATATCAGTGTCTTACCTTTGTCTTTATGGGTGTTAGTGGACTTCTGACAACAAATTGGAGGATTGAAGCAAAGCCCTCTGGGCTACTGTTTCGTGTGCACTGTTTTCGACTTTCTTATGGGTCCTTTTCTTAATGTCATTTTTGCTGGCCTGACTTTGTGTGTCCTGTGTTTGTTGAATTGAATCTGGATACAGTGCATGTGTTTGAGCAAAATGCTCCTGCATGCTATGTAAATGTTTTGTGTTTTATTTTCATTCATTCATATTGGTGATATTGTGGCACCATCAAACTAGACCGTATAAGCCTGTTTGTTTTCGAGTATATTGTTATAAAGACCATTATTTTTATATAGTTCATTTATTTATTTATTAGCTTTATTGACTTTTTTTGCCTTTAGCATTATTGCATTTTTTTATTATTGTGTGAAGGTTTTAAAAAACTCTTTGTTTTAAAAACGGACCTTTTTTAATGTGAACTGTACTATCCATTGTGCCACAGCGCCAAACGTAGATTTGCAAAGGTTATCTTCCATTTTTGTGTGTGTGCGTGTGTGTTGTGATACGTTTCTTCATTGTTACTGTTGGTTGATTTCGAAGAGCTCCAGAAAGCCGCCACAAGCTTTCCCGTGGAGTTTCACTGAACATTGCCTTGACTTTTTGAAGGGTCCCTATACAGAAGCTTCAAAAAAAAAAAATCCATATTTTTGACTATTTAAGTGGTCCCTGTACATATGAAGATGGGTGAAGGAACATTGATAGCCAGAAACCTTTTCCGAAGAGGATTGTATTTAAGAATATATAGTATTTTATTCATAAATTGGATTATAACACATTAAGAGACAAACAAAAAATATATTGTATAGTTTTCTTTGAACGCCCAAGATGTACGGTTTGTAAATATTGTAAATACTGGTTGCGAAGAAGGAGCCATGTGCATGAAACTTTAAGACATTGAACATAATGTAAAGATAAAATGTAGTGGCTATGATCTGTAATACGATTTGAACAACTTCACTGTAAGACTTTGTGGAAAATGTTCTTTCACAGAACATTCTCTGAAGCATGACATGATTCACGATAAAAACGTAGATTTAGCGGAAGAGCCAAACGAATGCATCAGACACAACAGGATCTTTCTTTTTCAGGGTTAGCGGAAATAAAATAGTATTTTGTTTTGCTTCGTTTTAACCGATGGTGACCAGTCATGTGAATGCTACAGGACTTAAATAAGCTATTCCTTTGAGAAGTATTGGAAGAACTATAGTATTGAATGACCAAACTTCACTCAAACACCCAACAGTTACAGCTGAGGTTTCTACGATACAGGGGATGAAATGTCTCCACGGTTTTGTCTTGTATAACATAACTAGAAAGTGTACTCACATTTTATCGTCTTGAACTCAACATGAACAATGGTATTCGATGGAGTCAGGAGGTTAAACGTAGGTCATGTAATTAAAAATGATGTTGACGTGAGGGTTGTGAATGGTTATTTCCAGCAGGCGATTCCCATACACGTGCTTACATGCTAGAATCAAACACTGAGAGGCCCCGAAAACGGTCATGGATACATATTGTGAATGTAGCTCAAAACACGTATGTTTCGACTCTCATCAGAATCGACGACTGCCATGTTCATAGCTTTATTTTTGATTGTTTCTTCATTTCTTGGGGGGCTGCTACCAACTTTCCAAACCCCATGGTTGAGTCACACCGAATCATATTGATTTCTGTTGTACGTTTTGTTTTTCGTTTACGCTCGTGCCATCTATATGGAAATAAGCGTCTTTCACAAATGTCTCTGAAAGAAATTTGAGACTAACTGACCCCCTGAACTTCCAAAAACTTCCAGCGATTTCAGCTGACGAGCTTACACCAGCACATTTAGCCTGTTAAAGAAAGGAAGGACGAGGAAAGAATGTGGTGCTTATCTGCTGAATTATTAGCTATGTAGTTTTATTTCTATTCCCCACATGTAGATCCATTGTTTTACAAGTTAAATGTTTTCTCATGATCTCAGAGACTAAGTATCAGTATTATTATAGAAAGTGCCTAAAACATTCAACCGATATCAGGAGTGTGTTTTTCCTAAAGAAGTCCATATGAACCAGTTGCTCTTTTTTTACCGGTATGCAACGCTAAAGGCTGGTTTTACTGTCCAAACAGGAGCCCAGGTCTGTTTCCTCCTCTCACACCCTTTTCACTCCTGAAACACAGACACAGAGTGTGAAGACACCTTTCATTTTGTTTTTTTTGTCCCCCACTCATTCTGATTATGTCTACAAAAAGCGACTTTGAGTGACCCAGTAACGTACTATGCATGCTTTCATTATTTTTTTCATTTTGTGTACTTTTCTTTCTCTTTTTCCATGTCGGATCTAAACTGGGCCAGGAAAGTAGGACACGCTCAGTGTAGTTGGCGCATTATGTAATATCTCCATCCGGTTGTCAGTTTCAAGTCCGAGCACAACTCCAAGCGAAGGTGGCCGCCCTTTCCATCCGTCCGACTTGAAACTTCAGGGGGGTCAGGGCAAAAATGCTGGGTTTGAAATATCAGTGTCTTACCTTTGTCTTTATGGGTGTTAGTGGACTTCTGACAACAAATTGGAGGATTGAAGCAAAGCCCTCTGGGCTACTGTTTCGTGTGCACTGTTTTCGACTTTCTTATGGGTCCTTTTCTTAATGTCATTTTTGCTGGCCTGACTTTGTGTGTCCTGTGTTTGTTGAATTGAATCTGGATACAGTGCATGTGTTTGAGCAAAATGCTCCTGCATGCTATGTAAATGTTTTGTGTTTTATTTTCATTCATTCATATTGGTGATATTGTGGCACCATCAAACTAGACCGTATAAGCCTGTTTGTTTTCGAGTATATTGTTATAAAGACCATTATTTTTATATAGTTCATTTATTTATTTATTAGCTTTATTGACTTTTTTTGCCTTTAGCATTATTGCATTTTTTTATTATTGTGTGAAGGTTTTAAAAAACTCTTTGTTTTAAAAACGGACCTTTTTTAATGTGAACTGTACTATCCATTGTGCCACAGCGCCAAACGTAGATTTGCAAAGGTTATCTTCCATTTTTGTGTGTGTGCGTGTGTGTTGTGATACGTTTCTTCATTGTTACTGTTGGTTGATTTCGAAGAGCTCCAGAAAGCCGCCACAAGCTTTCCCGTGGAGTTTCACTGAACATTGCCTTGACTTCTTGACTTTTTGAAGGGTCCCTATACAGAAGCTTCAAAAAAAAAAAATCCATATTTTTGACTATTTAAGTGGTCCCTGTACATATGAAGATGGGTGAAGGAACATTGATAGCCAGAAACCTTTTCCGAAGAGGATTGTATTTAAGAATATATAGTATTTTATTCATAAATTGGATTATAACACATTAAGAGACAAACAAAAAATATATTGTATAGTTTTCTTTGAACGCCCAAGATGTACGGTTTGTAAATATTGTAAATACTGGTTGCGAAGAAGGAGCCATGTGCATGAAACTTTAAGACATTGAACATAATGTAAAGATAAAATGTAGTGGCTATGATCTGTAATACGATTTGAACAACTTCACTGTAAGACTTTGTGGAAAATGTTCTTTCACAGAACATTCTCTGAAGCATGACATGATTCACGATAAAAACGTAGATTTAGCGGAAGAGCCAAACGAATGCATCAGACACAACAGGATCTTTCTTTTTCAGGGTTAGCGGAAATAAAATAGTATTTTGTTTTGCTTCGTTTTAACCGATGGTGACCAGTCATGTGAATGCTACAGGACTTAAATAAGCTATTCCTTTGAGAAGTATTGGAAGAACTATAGTATTGAATGACCAAACTTCACTCAAACACCCAACAGTTACAGCTGAGGTTTCTACGATACAGGGGATGAAATGTCTCCACGGTTTTGTCTTGTATAACATAACTAGAAAGTGTACTCACATTTTATCGTCTTGAACTCAACATGAACAATGGTATTCGATGGAGTCAGGAGGTTAAACGTAGGTCATGTAATTAAAAATGATGTTGACGTGAGGGTTGTGAATGGTTATTTCCAGCAGGCGATTCCCATACACGTGCTTACATGCTAGAATCAAACACTGAGAGGCCCCGAAAACGGTCATGGATACATATTGTGAATGTAGCTCAAAACACGTATGTTTCGACTCTCATCAGAATCGACGACTGCCATGTTCATAGCTTTATTTTTGATTGTTTCTTCATTTCTTGGGGGGCTGCTACCAACTTTCCAAACCCCATGGTTGAGTCACACCGAATCATATTGATTTCTGTTGTACGTTTTGTTTTTCGTTTACGCTCGTGCCATCTATATGGAAATAAGCGTCTTTCACAAATGTCTCTGAAAGAAATTTGAGACTAACTGACCCCCTGAACTTCCAAAAACTTCCAGCGATTTCAGCTGACGAGCTTACACCAGCACATTTAGCCTGTTAAAGAAAGGAAGGACGAGGAAAGAATGTGGTGCTTATCTGCTGAATTATTAGCTATGTAGTTTTATTTCTATTCCCCACATGTAGATCCATTGTTTTACAAGTTAAATGTTTTCTCATGATCTCAGAGACTAAGTATCAGTATTATTATAGAAAGTGCCTAAAACATTCAACCGATATCAGGAGTGTGTTTTTCCTAAAGAAGTCCATATGAACCAGTTGCTCTTTTTTTACCGGTATGCAACGCTAAAGGCTGGTTTTACTGTCCAAACAGGAGCCCAGGTCTGTTTCCTCCTCTCACACCCTTTTCACTCCTGAAACACAGACACAGAGTGTGAAGACACCTTTCATTTTGTTTTTTTTGTCCCCCACTCATTCTGATTATGTCTACAAAAAGCGACTTTGAGTGACCCAGTAACGTACTATGCATGCTTTCATTATTTTTTTCATTTTGTGTACTTTTCTTTCTCTTTTTCCATGTCGGATCTAAACTGGGCCAGGAAAGTAGGACACGCTCAGTGTAGTTGGCGCATTATGTAATATCTCCATCCGGTTGTCAGTTTCAAGTCCGAGCACAACTCCAAGCGAAGGTGGCCGCCCTTTCCATCCGTCCGACTTGAAACTTCAGGAAATCATAAGCGAAAGTCCTCTGTATTCACCAGGAAAAGCTGTTTATGGATCACCAGGTATATGTATCTCAGTTTGGGTCATTCATCTTAAGCACGGGAAAAATCTGCCTCCCTTTTGTAGTTTTACTCAGGGTGCTAAAACAGGGAGATGGTGTTTAGCATGGAGACTAGATTAGGTTAGGTTAAGTCTCCAGGTTCAGCTCAGAATCAACAGGAGAAACCACTGGGAATATGTAATTCCATATGTACGTTCGCTTTGTTACAAAACCACTGCTTTCAG